TAACAAATTATATTTTAGAATTTTTTTAGTTGAGATGAATATAAGGTTAATGGGCCTTCAATCAAGTTCAAGTCTGTCCATTTCAAGAAAGCCTAATATGGTTACTGGATCCAATCCGGGAATGTGGCTATTCCAGAATCTGTTGTGGTTTTGTTGTGCTGGAATATGACTATTAACTACCTTTACTTGTCATCTTTTTGTTTTGTATTTAAATAATTTTCAGACTGGTTCTTTCATATTTTCACACATTGTAAGGTGTCCCTTCTTTTTTTTCTTTTTTATTTTAAGCATCATGTCTAACAATTTTTGGGCATTGCAGTTCTTTGAATTCTCTATAAGTCCCGCAAAATTTTGTATTCTTAGGCGAGCTCCTAAATATTCGATCACATGTTACATCTCACGTTGATGCATGTACAGTGGCGGAACAGCATGGGGTTAAAGGAACTCTTGGACCCCGTCAATTATTATTTTTAAGTATTCATTAATATTATATATATATTTAAAAAATAAATAAAGAAAAATTTATCAAAATCATTTCTGAAATAATCATGGGTTAATAGAATCATAGAAGGAAATAATCATGCAGAAAAAATCATTTCAGAAATAATTCTGATAAGTTTCAAAAATTTATGAAATGTTTTCTGCATGATTATTTCTGTACATTTCCGGACAGAACCATAGAAGCCCTATATCTATTGAAAAACCACGATCCTTTGAAATGATTTCTGATAGAATCATACGATCTGTCAAAGCTAAATCTACTATAAGTCTATCGTAGTTTTTGAAACTGTTAATCTACAAGTAACATCTTCCGTCGCCACCACTATTATTATAAAATTTGTAAGTCAAGATTGAGAGTGATCTGGAACCATACTCTCCTACCTTGCGAAAACATAAAATTTAAACATCGACCAACCATCATCTAATCATAATCGTGGTTCTTCATTCAAATTAAAAAAATGAATAATTTAAAATCATCATAATCTAAATATTACTATCAATAAATGTAATTTAAATTATGTATTAAAAATTTCCATATTATGTCAAGCGATTTGATTCATGGAAGAAGAAAAAAAATAAGGCATGCAACTTAAAAGAAATTTAAATTTATATTTCTAATTTTATTTCTAGAGATAGGAGGAGAAGAGACGATGTCATATTTAATTATAAAGTGGTTGAAAGGCAAGAATATCCAAAACAATAGATGCGATTATTCTCATAGAAAAGCCAAACGCTGAGAACCGATGGATTTGGATATTCCAAATGGCTTGGAATTATGCTAAGCGCCAAAGGTCCCACCCCACCCCACCCCACTTCACTATACAAGCTGTAACTCAACTTTGAATATTATATTTCAAGTAAAAACTAAGAGTAAAGTTTATTATTTAATGTTATTTTGTTCTTTATCAGTTTTAAATTTTATTAATTAGATTTTGAAGTATTTGACGGGTCATATTTTAAATACCGTAGTGAGTGAGAATTACTAAAAATCATCATACATGAAAATTATTAAAATATTTTTGAGTGAAAATTACCAAAAAACCCTTATAGTTATCTAGTTGGGATACGAGGGTCAATGTAGATTGTAAAAACGATTGACAATTTTGTTGATGATTATTATGAATGTATATATTATTTATCTTTTTAACAGAAGCAGCTAGTATTATTAAAAAGTAAAAATATCAAAAATTATAGTAAGAGTTTACAACAATCATCATAAACTAATTATATAATTTGAACATTTTTATTTAACATTGAAACTAGTCACTTTAGATCATATAAGAATTATATATGGAAAATGTTAAAGATCCAACAAAAAAACTCGAATAAAAAATAAACTTGAACTTATGTAATTCTTATTGTTAGAGCCTTATGGTACGATATTGACTATGTAACACAGGTATTAAGATTTTAAGAATAGAAAGAGCTAGAATACACTTATGTATAATATATTAAACATATTGAGATCTTTATTTAAGAATAAGGTTGTAAATTTCACGTGATAATGGATGGTGTCTAATTCGTTAAACGTTTGTGTATTTGGTGATGAGCTAATGTTTAATCAATGTTGAGCATAAAATACTATAAATCAATTATCAAGCACTCCGTAAATTTTTAAAATAGTGTTGACGATGATTAGATGCTTATTAAAAAATGTGATTCGAACTCGACTATCGTTATTTTTAATTTATGATCATGAGTGATGATCGGGGAACCACTTAAAACTTAATGTTATATATATATATATATATATATATATATATGGTCATGTATGATGATTGATAAGTTGGTCATATATGACGATTGGTGAGTTATATTAGACTTAATAATTGTAATATTTGATTTACGATCATATGTGATAATTGACGAGTTATAGATTTGATATATGCAATCATACGTGGTGATCGATGAATCATGTTGGACCCATTGATTATTTTTGATTTTAACTATATGCGGAGTAAAATTATGTAGATACCCTAGTCAGCATGTAGTATAATCTGTAGTACTCGATAATGTGTGATACAATGTACATATATTTTCCTCTAACAATCTATTTCACAATAATAAGTTATAATTTAAATTTTATTTATCATAATATCACTGACTTTAAATATAATTTCTATTTTATAACATAATATTTAAAATATATACTTATCAAGAATATTTTTAACAATAACAACAAAACACTTAGGTGATGTTTGTTTTTACTGTGTAAGCAAAGCTCTTATGTCTGCGCTGCGCAGATCATGCGCAGACATTGGGCTTCGCAGACCGTTTGTTTTTTAGAAGACATAAGTTCTTTTAACGTCTGCGCGTGGTCTGCGCGGCGCAGACGTGACCTTATGTCTGCAGACGTCTTTTAACCTCTTCAAAAAGGTTTTATATTTAATTTAATTTAATTTTATATTATATTTGATTTTAATTTTAATATCAATTTTTAAAATAAATTAAATATTAATTTTTTAATATTATATTATAGATATTAATTTTAATATTATATTATAGATATTTAATTTTATATCATATAAATTATTTTATATATTATTAAAATTTTATATTTATTTTAATTATTTTGATTTAAGTTTAAATATAATATATTTTTAGATTTTTTATTTTTAAATTATATTTAAACTTTTTATACAAAATGTAAGTATTTAAACAAATGTTTTTAAAATCGGACCGGACATTGAACCGGTGAAGGTACTGGTTCACTGGTTCAACCGGGTTCAACCGCGGTTGAACCAGATTTTATATAAAATAAATTTTTTTAATTTTACATAATATTCAAAGCAATATTAATATATATGTAACACTTTTTTTAAGTTTACAATATTAAAAAGTATAAAAATATCACAAGTCATAACATATATAAATTAAAAATCATAAAATCAAGTGAAACAAAATGATTCAAATCAACTACAACATAATATTTAAGGTAAAACATATTAAATAATAAATATAATTATATAACTATAATAAAAAAAAATTGGGGCTTAAAAAATCACAACAAATGAAATCATTTGGTTTAGTTTTTTTTTTTTTTAAAATAATCTCACATGGCTAAGAAACATAGAAGAGCATCCAAATTACTTCTATAAATAATAGATGTAATTTGACATTCAAAATCATGGAGCCTTTTGGTGAGCACACATCGAACTATTCTTTTGCTTCAATTGAGCTCAAATTTTAGGCTTCAATCGAACTTCTAAATTTTTTTTGAGTTCGAGTCTTTTCGAGTTCAAGTTTTAATATTATATTTCGAGTTCGAGTTGAACTTGATAATTTGTAGCTCGTGAGTTTTTTAGTCGAGTTGAGCTTACTTTTAAAGTTTTCGAATTCGAGTCGAGCTCAACAATACTTGAATTTGACTTGGCTCGTTGACCAAACGACGTCGTTTGGTTTAATTTTTTTTAAAGAAAAAAGTGAATCGACGGTTCAAATCAGTTTTACTGGTTTTCAGCCGGTTCTACCGGTTTTCAGCCGGTTCTATCGGTTTTCAGCCGATTCATTGCCAGCCCGATTTTGTGAGGTAACCGGACCGGACAGCCCACCGGTTCACGGTTCAACCGGTTGAACCGATCGGTCCGATCCGATTTTGATAACCATGATTTAAACTACATTGCTTAATAAAAATTGATTTCATTGTTTGATAATTAAGATTTTAAAATATAAAAAATTATAAATTATGTTTTTAAAATTTTAAAATATAATCACAATTAAATAAAAAATAATCATAAAATAATTTTATAAATTAAAAATATTTTCTAAAAATATCATATAATTATAAAAATAAATTATGAATATATATTTAAAAAAATTAAAAGTATTACATAATTGCATATTTAAAAAATCATATAATTTAATGATCATTTATAAATTTTATTCGATAAAACTTATAAAACTAATAATACATGAGATTATGTGAGACTTATAATAGAATTAATAAGGTGATGTTTGTTTTTCTAACAAAATTATTATTGTAGTTGTATGAATTATTTAAATTTCATTATTGTAAAACTAAAATTATTTAAATCTCAGTATTACAAAACTCTTTTAAGTTTAAAAAATCAGTTTTATTTATATTTCAGTTTATTTTAGCAGTCTGCAGATGTTAAAAAATAAATAATCTTCTTCTTGCAGACTGCAAACTTTTAGTCCACCTCTTCTGCTGCAAATGCCTGCAGATATGATCTACAAACTGCAAACCTTTTACCTATACAAAAATAAACACCACCTTAAATATTGTAAATGGAATGGATTTTAATTAAATCCCTGATAAATTGAAGTCAAACATTGTTGATTTGACTAAACCCATCAAGCTCAACCTTTTACGACAAAAAATGTTGTCTTCCTCTATCACAATCAGCACTGCCACGTGTTGGGTTTTTATTTCACTTAAAAAATAAAATACCGAAAAAAGAAAAAGAAAGGAATAAAACCCAAGATATGCTTTGCTTTCATTTAAAGAACCCCATGGATATTCTCACCCATCCTCTCCGAATATTCTCTCTTTTCCGTTATATTCTCTCATTCCCCCCTCACTTTCTTCCTCATTTTCTCACCAGCCAAACATCCTCCCTCAAGATTTTAGTAACCCATGAAATTTGGGAAGAGTCTTAGTAACCAGATCGGGGAGACTTTGCCCGAATGGCGGGACAAGTTCCTTTCTTACAAGGAGCTTAAGAAGAAGTTGAAACTGATCGAGCCCAAATCCGGCGATAGGCCGAATAAGCGGCTTAAATTGGGTCAAGATTCTGTTCATTCCGGGGAGAAGGTCGGAGACGGCATGTCGATAGAGGAGACCGATTTCATTAGGCTTTTGGAGAAGGAGCTCGAAAAATTCAACAGCTTTTTTGTCGAGAAAGAGGAAGAATACATCATTAGGTTGAAGGTAATTTCAACTCCCATTTGATTTTGATCTGTTTAGTTGAAGTTTTTTTTGTTTTTATTTCTGGCATTTCGCTTCTTTTCCCGGTAAGCAAACAGGGGGATTTGAAATTCGTTAACAGAGCATGAAAACGCTGCCGTTTAGTAAAATAGCGGATTTTCTTTCCTTGTGAGTCCGTTAAACCGTTGAACATTAAGGAAGTGTTTGGTTCAAGGATTGTAGATTCTGACATATTTATGTTTAGTTGGTCGAGAATTTCATTTTTGGTAATGTTTTATTATCAATAGTAGAATTTTTAGGTATATTACTGAGAATGTCATTATCTCTTTTCCCTTAAGTATTGTAACATTACCGACGTTTTAAATTAAAATACTATTAAATTTTTATTTTTTTTAAAAAATATAATTCTTTGTAATTGAATAATTAAAATTTTACGAAGTTTAAATTATAAATTTATCTTAAATTATTTTATATTTATAAAAAAATTCTATAATTAAAATTTTATATAAAGTTTATGGGTAAAAAAAAATTTACATTTTCATTAAATTTTTTTATATTTTTAATTTTATAAAAAAATTATATAAATATTATGAATTTAATTTTTAAAAAAAATATATATAAATATTTTATAATTTGTAATATTATACAAATATATAATAAGGACAATTTGATCAAATATATATTTTAATAATCTTTTATTCCTTTAACCAAACACGGTAATCTTACATTCCTGTTAAACCAACCAAATACAAAATACAACATTCTCAGTAATCTTATTTCCTGATAATCTTTTATTTCCACTGATAATCTTACATTCCGTGAACCAAACGCATCCTAAGGGATTGTACTTACCTTGAAGTACAAGCTTTTGTTAACGTTGCCTCCAATATGATATTTTATTAAAAGTTGATAGATCAAGGAAAATATCATATTTTTTCTTAGAAATTTAGTGATATTTAGCATAGTTTTAATCATTTAAACTGCTTGTATCCAAGTTCTAGATCTAATGATAATTGGGGTTTTCATTTTAGTATGTTTTATGCTGATTTTGATGAACTGTTCACAGGAATTACAAGACAGTGTAGCGAAGGCAAAGGACAGCAATGAAGAAACGATCAGGATTAGGAAGGAGATTGTGGACTTTCATGGGGAGATGGTTTTGTTAGAGAATTATAGCGCTCTTAACTACACAGGTGCTTCATCTTTGTTTATTCCCTTTTTCTGATTGCTTAATCAAAGATTTTGCCACTTGCTTTCTTTTAGTGCTTGACATAGTTGATTGTAGTGCAACTCTTTAGCCGGCCAAATGATTAGGGTTATAGCAACATGGTAGCGAACAGAGATGGACACATGAATTTATACTAGGGGAGGGGTGCCGTGCGAACTTAGAAAGTTATACTAGAAGCTTAGGGGGTGTGAAATTACAAAAGTATGGGGTGCAAAATTAGATCATCAATAGAAAATACAAAGAAAATATTTAAACAGAATTTGAAAGCAACTGCACTCCACTCGATCCATTCCTGCTAGTAAGCCTGTGTGGTGTTAATGCCCATTTCTTGAAGTCATAATTACTTTATTATTGCATGCTTCTTTTTTACATCAGTTGTCTGGTAGACAACTTATCCACGTCCATTACTTTGTTAAGCATCAATTATTCAACCTTTACGTAACCCGACAATTCGTGTATCTTGATATTGTGTATACCTGGAGACATTCATATATTTATGTTACTGTTTTTTCTCTCGATTGTTAGCGGATACATCATTAACAACATATGTTTTAGGATTGGTGAAAATACTGAAGAAGTATGACAAAAGGACGGGTGCTTTGATCCGCTTGCCTTTCATTCAAAGGGTTCTGCAGCAGCCCTTCTACACTACAGACTTGCTTTACAAGCTGGTCAAGGAATGTGAGGTGATGCTGGACCACCTGTTCCCGAAGAACGAAAAGCCGGCTTTGACCAGATTAGAAAACAAGGACGGTGAGGATGATGATGGGTTTGATCCTTCAACATCCTCTACTTGTAGGAGTGAAGATGGCCTCAAAATGACTAAAGAGCTGGAAGAGATCAAGTACATGGAGAGCCTATATATGAAGAGCAGTATATCTGCATTGCGAGTTTTGAAGGAAATCCGGAGCGGAAGCTCGACCGTTAGCGTTTTCTCGTTGCCTCCGTTGGACGATACATGGAAAAAGGTCCCTGCTCTTGAACAAACTGCCAAATAGTTTGGATTTTGGTAATAGAACTCAACTAAGTCTGCAACTGATAATTTTTAGTTCTTTAACATTTCATGCTGTTATAACGCGAAGTCTGAGATAGCTATACATGTAAATGCTATATATTTGATTAAATAAATGCTATATATTTATAATATAGCAACTTGGTATAATCATAATTTTTTTTTAATAAATACTGATTTTACTTATTATTTACTTATTATAATACGAGTGTGAATGTACAAGGAAAAAAGAAATTAAACTACTTTAGGGTAAACTATTCATATGGTCACCTAACTTTTAGGTTGTTATCAATTTAGTCACTTTACAAAATTTTGTGTAATTGAGTCACTAAACTTTTAAGATGCTATCAATTTAGTCACTGTTGTAAGAAAAATTATAATATTAATTAATATTTTAACATATTTTAATTTATGGTATAAATATATTTTTAATTAATGCTATAAGGTTATTATGTTTTGGTAATATACTTTTTAATTAGTATGAGGTAATTAAAAAGTAGTATATTTTGAAAATTGTCTTAGTCAATTGATATCGAGGGCACATACACCTTGCAGCTTCAACTGCTCAAATTTGGAATATTTAGGGAGAATAACATTTTATTTTACTACTGAGGTCGCTTAATGGATTGTCGTATCGAAAAATTTAATCAATCCCATGATAACTAAAACAAAGTGCCTTAGAGTCTATACTCTATATTAAGAAACAAAAACAAAATTACAAAACATGATGTAATAAGACATACATGTTCATAAATTGACCGTTTTACATTAGTCATCAAATGTGATAAAAAATCCACCCATAAAGCCAGCTCCATTACAATTCCTGCATAAAATATCCCTTTTTCCCCTGCAACATACAACACCACTCGGATTAATCGTATCCCTGACATTACTGCTGCATGTTTCATGCTTTATTCGAAAGGATTTTCAGGACAGTGTTCGTCGTGCATCGAACACAGGATTCCTACATGACGAAGAAATGCGATGAACTCATGCAGTGAACTGGCTTTGAATCCAAGAATGAGTCTGTTTCTGCAACGGTAATGATGGATTTAATGGCAGGTAAGTCCTGATACTCGGTACAAGACATCTATAGACTCCGTTTTTGCCTTAACATTAAACCCGATAGCAGAAGAACCTAGAAACTGTGGTCAATTCTCGATAACGATGAGAAATAGGAAATCGAACCTTCAATGCCTGCTTATCCCCTAATGCAAACGGCAGAACAGAGAAGAATGAATACTTAACTTTGAATGTGACCAACGGGTAGCAATGACGGAAATGATGTTAATGCAAGTTATCGTGACCGGAGGCAAAGAGATTGGCACCTGCAAAGCCAGCACAAGCCACCGGCTTTATTGTCCGTTGAAGTGATCAACCGAATTAACTCCGGTACCTTTGCATTGATGACACTGTTTCGCACCTGGTAGTCGGATATAGAAACTAGATATAACTGTATGCCGGTTGTCAAAATAATAGAACTCAGACAAAGAACTCTCAAGTGATGCTTCATTAACAGTTCAAATATCATAAGGAGAGAATCTCTAAAGGGCTGAACATTAACTCCAACATTGGTCATTGGCTAATAAAGGAATCAAAGTTCAAAGAAGAAAGCATTCACCACCTATGAACATAGACTTGAGATATGGAATGGTACGAGTTAACCGATAGGAAAGGTTTTTTTTCCTTGTAGGTCAAGCTAAGAGAGCGAGTGTGGAGGTTGGTGTTTGGCTGAGAAGCCTTCATCTGCAGTTGAGATAGCATTGTTTTCTTGTCGGTCAAGCCAAGAGAGAGAATGAATCAAGCTAAGAGTGCAAGTGGAGGTTAGTGTTTGGCCAAGAAGCCTTTATCTGCACTCGATGTTCAAAGATCCTTCTAAGTCGATGTTCAGGATACCATATGTTCAACTGCATATAGACTTAACTTTACAGTGGAATCGATGTCGGTATTATATCAATATAACAATGCTGCTTCATTTTCGTCCAGGGATTACACAGAAACAGTACGGTAATCAGAAGAAAATTTAGTTAAGTGAAACAAGATACCTGATAATGGAAAAAGAAAAGCAGCAGACCAAAGTTGCAGTAACTAGCCACAATTAGGCTTACCGTTTCCTTCACAATCTTCACAAACAATGCTTTTCGGTTTAATACTTCGATTCTTATCTGCAGCCTATTGAACCAAAAGCCAAGTAAACGCACAAGCAGAAAATTACAAAAAGATAAGAAGAAACTAAACAAAACCGAACTCCCCCCTTGGACATATTTCACCTTCCTCATTTACAGTCAATACAAAGATCCGATCCAACGAGACAATGCCTACTCATCCCAGCAGAATCAAACTATCCCATGACTTGATTGCTTATACATAATCGGCCTACTCTCGGTAGCCGAATACTGATACATTCACAACCAGTTCTCCATTTTATCATTCATCTATAGAACGGGCAACTTCCTTAGACATTCCCAGAAATCATACTGTCTTGGGTAACAAAAGAACAATCATTCTAAATCATGTCTTTACCACTATTTTCTTCTTTTTTCTAATATTTGTTTCTGTTATACCCCTTCCGAATCTCTTCTACAACATTAATCTTCACTTTGCACAATGAAGACCTTCAAAGAACATCTCCATAGTTGAGGCCACAGAAGAACATCTCCAGACACAGTACCGGAACAATGTATCTCTCGGAAAGCTATGATCTTTAGCCATGACCTCTGACATAGGTCCTTTATGATATGTCAAAATCAATTGACAACTGACCACGTCAATCGAGTCTACTAATTTACAATTTATGAATAGCTGTAATTATCCTATGTCTCAAACTAACACTAAAAATCATTATAAGATTTATCGATCAGGACTCTGGACTACCCCCAAACATCAAACTTAAAAGCCATTAGCATCTAAGTCATCCTTCATAGTAACCAACTCCAAAATTTACAAAATGGGTACGAGTCCATTGGCAAAATTAGTTCCCAAACCTCACTATTTAATAGGATTGTAAATGGGAAAAAAAGTCCTTTTCTTACTTTAGATTCTAAGGATTGAATTCTGGCATTCCTCGAACTCTTAAACACTTCATTTACCCGAAAAACCATCCTTGGGGAAGAATTATTATCAACAATCATTCCTAAAACCGATAGGCTGTTCACTATTCGATTTTAACCGAATTAACCGATTGAGCTGAATTAGTTTGATTAATTCGATCGGCCACTGAATTAGTTCGATCGGGAAACGGTTAATGTTTTTTTAAATATTCGGTTAATGGTTAATTCGGTTCGAAATCGGTTAATTAACCGAATTAACCTAAATTATTAAATATTATATATATTATAAACCTATTTTAAGCTCAAACCCATTAAAATAAATACTCAATTATTTTTTTAATAACACTAGATTCATTAAGTTATCAGTACCTAATTAATTTGTAACTCAAATAAAAAATATACATATATTATATTTAAATTAATCTAATTATAAAAAAAAATTATATTTTTTTGGTTAATTCGGTTAACCAACCGAAATAACTGAATTTTGTTATGTTAGGTTAATATTTTCAAAAAAAAAAAGTTCGATTCAGTTAACAGTTAAAAAAATTCAGTTAATTTGATTAATAATTCAATTCGGTCCGTGACCGAATTATCTGTTTGAAAACCCCTAAAAACTGAAACAGAAAACAGAAAAGGTCAAAACTTGGCCGTCTATGAATAAACAAACCTCACTAAAACATCTACTTTCTTTATTACCTGGTTCACAGGGAGTGTTGAAGGAACAAACAGAGAGAGTTTGCCATCCTCTGAGAGTTTTCAGTTTTTTTTCCTCCAGCTTCAAAGAAGTATGTGCCTTTCGGTTGTTCTACCTGACGAGGCTAAACTGAATTACGGAAGTGCCCTTTTCATAATAGTTACATGAGACGTCAACGCCGTCTGGAAAATGGGGCTATTGAGGTCAATTTATTTTACAAACAAACCAGACCCTGCCATTTATATGTGTATTGTGCAGGCTTAAAACGGATGATTGACGATGAACATTAATAATGATGAACATTAATAATGATGTTTATAAAATGATAAAATTATAAGATAATCAATGCATAATTATATTTTAGTTAAAAATATAATTGTAATTTTAAATAAATCACAATATTTAATTAAATTGTTTTTTTAATATTTTTGGGTTAATTACGCATTTAGTATCTAAAGTTTCACTTTTAGTACGTTTTAATACCTGAACTTTTAAAATTTATAAAATCATACCTAACGTTTAGTTTTTGTTTCATTCTAGTACCCGCCGTTAAAAACTTAACGACAGAATTGACGTGACATGCTGTGATAATTTTTTAATATTTTTTAAACTTCCACATCAACAATCAAATATTAATTTTTATTATTTTTATTCAACCAATAGGATGATGACACATGTCACCACCATATTGAAATAAAAATTAAAATATTATGTACTTGGAATGGGATTTGAACCAACACCCTTATTGGTGGAAGGGAGAGAGCTTGACCACCAGAGCTTGACCACCAAGCTAATTGTTATATTTTCACCAAAAATTATATTTAATTTATACTCCATTAACACCACAAAAAAAATATATTTTGATTAAAAACTAGGACTTCTCTACAAGAAAAATTAGTGTTCAACCATTAAGCTAGTATATGAAATTCGTCATGAATCATCAAATTTATATTTATTTTATATAATTATTTAATTAAAGACTAAAATATTAATTTATTTAAAAATATAAAGTATAAACCAAATTACTTAATTAAAAATTAAATTATTTTAACTTTATTTTTGGAATAAAAAATAATTAAATATATGTTTTTAAAAATCAATATTAAAATTAAATTTAAAATATTTATTTATGATCGTATAATATAAATTTAAAATTAAATAAATATTAAAAATTATTTTTATCATAAACAATTTAAAATTTATACTTATTTAATTAATATTAAAGTAATATAGGATTTATGAAGTTAAAAAATAGTGTTTATTTTAATGATTTAATATTTTATATAGTTTATACTAAAAGTATTTACATTTCTAAATAAATTAATATTTTAGTTTTCAATTAAACAATTATATAAAATAACTATAAATTTGATGATACATGACCAATTTCATATACTAGCTTA